AGACACACAGACACACACACAGACAGACACACAAACTGCAAAGACTCCCTTTTTGTGCTTTGCACACGGGAGTCAAAAGATGGAAATGCTGAAATATCTTCCCGACCCAAGAGATGTAGAAGTCATCAGGAGGAGAAGACATTTTGAGAACAGAACTTTTCATCAAAGATATTTTCGAATTCATGGATGTCCTAAAATTTGTAGTCGGAAAATGTTAGTAATGGTCACTTGGGGGTTCTGGCACCCCTAGACTACTGGTTTTATTCAATAACTAAATATCAAATGCTGGTAAGGTTAGTATAGTTGAGCAAGTCAGTCTATACTAATATTTTTGTGAAAAACAAGCAAAAAAAAATTCAATTAAAAATAAAGTGTTTGTGTTCTACATTATTCACCATATAAACGATAAGGATACACCAATCTTGCACACGCTGTCATTGCCAATGATCTAGTTTCTGTTGTCAGTTCTTTAGTACTTTCTGTTTTCATATATGCTAACATATGATGCAATAAATCAGATCTCTTAGAAAAATTGTATGGATGACCTAAATGGTCTGAATGTAATGCCTTGGCTATCAAACCAACACTTCGAATTAAGTTCTGTTTTACAGAGGTATCCTGCGAAAACAATGAAGTTAACTTTAGTACACATGAGACATTGCGTATTGTGATGATTAACTTTAGTACACATGAGACATTGTGTATTGTGATGATATGGGGTATCTACAATTGGTAGTATAAGGGTAACGGTACTGTACTGGGTGTCTACAGTAAGTAGTCTATGGGTGACGGTACTGTACTGGGTGTCTACAGTAAGTAGTCTATGGGTGACGGTACTGTACTGGGTGTCTACAGTAAGTAGTCTATGGGTGACGGTACTGTACTGGGTGTCTACAGTAAGTAGTCTATGGGTGACGGTACTGTACTGGGTGTCTACAGTAAGTAGTCTATGGGTGACGGTACTGTACTGGGTGTCTACAGTAAGTAGTCTATGGGTGACGGTACTGTACTGGGTGTCTACAGTAAGTAGTCTATGGGTGACGGTACTGTACTGGGTGTCTACAGTACCGGTAAGTAGTCTATGGGTGACGGGACGGTACTGTACTGGGTGTCTACAGTACCAGTAAGTAGTCTATGGGTGACGGGACGGTACTGTACTGGGTGTCTACAGTAAGTAGTCTATGGGTGACGGTACTGTACTGGGTGTCTACAGTAAGTAGTCTATGGGTGACGGTACTGTACTGGGTGTCTACAGTA